ATTTAAATACTGCCACTACTAGACATTATAAAAATAATACCACATTATCCATGTATATTTTATTAGTACCCGCCAAAATAACCAAGTGAACAACACCGAACATAATAACGAAAAATTATAAATTTTAATGATAGTGGAAATGAGTATAGTTTTGTTTTAAAAACGGCGAAATGGTACCGTAAGTCTGCAATGAGTATGTAAAATAATATAAACAACGTTGCGTCGAAGTGATATAGTAAAAACCACATTTAAAGTGAGACACTGTTAACAGAATAAAAATACCAGCTGTTCAAATTCAAAATAATCTACGACATAACAGTACAGGTACTTTTGGAAATTTCATAGCACCCTGCGAGGGAAGCCGGCGCCATTGAACAGTATCGAAAAATGTTAACTGCATTAAATTATTAACCAGCGTGTTTTCTGCGTAGACGGTTTTTGCAACAGCGAGAATGAAATAAAAGCGAATCGTTAAAAACGTCAGACCCTCAAACGATTAAAAACCGATTTACCGTCGTCGGTAGGTATATTGAACCCGGAAACATACACTATTATCGGTGTACAATATTATACATACGACGGGGCATTGTCGTTACGACAATATAAACACGATTGTACTACACGCGAGTAACCACCTCGCTCTTACGCTCACCTCATCTACACGTGGTGTACATAATATTATATATTGTATTATTATATATATATATATATATATATAGTATATTATAACTGCAGTTATAGCCGTCCCGCGTGTACAAGAGTTACTCGATGCGTACGAGTACAATACGCACTCGATCGAGGATGACCGGTTTGGCGGGTTTTCGTCAAAACGAAAATTAGAAATCGGTTGTTCGGCGATCGATGATGGGCACGCCGTCGATTGGGGTGGTCACGTGGCAGTGAGGGGTGGGAGGGCGCACGAGCCGTTTGTCAGAGGCGTCTCCGGTAATTGGGTGGTCAACCCGGACGGGTATGCATTATCTGTGTGTGTGTGTGTGTGTGTGTGTGTGTGCGTACGTGTGTAGCGTTGTGCGCAAGGGAGAAAAAATGGCAAATTTATCGATCAGGGTCAGTGGTCAGCGCGGCCAACTGGTTTCTCGGCCGGCGCAAAGCACCGGCTGGAAATCTTGCCCCGGGCACGTCGCACAATGGAGCACGAGGGGACGGGGGAGAATGGGGTAGTGTCCGGAGATTTATGGCGTCCAGTTCCGCTTCCGGGGGCCAAAGGGTTAAAAACAACAGTCATAAACATGGGTGCAAATTGATATTGAACACTTTTTAATGGACATTCGACACGCGATTGTCGCCAAGCAATCGGACAATATAATAATATAGCGTGTCCCTCCAGCTCGGGTGAATAATAATAATAATAATAATAATAATAATAAAATTCAGCAGGCAAGTAAAAATATGTACCCGATCGGCTCGAATAAAAATAAAAATACATAAATATTAAATATATAATATTATATCTTAGTCCTAATAGTAAAAAACATTTATACATTCATGTATTATAATTAAACAAAAATATACAAGTATTTATGATAGGTATAGTAAGTATAGGTACGATATTATAAGCACGGTTTTGTGCATAGATTTTTGTACCCGCCGGGAAGCATACGATGCCGCTATATTACTTATTATAATATATTTACTATCAAAATAAAAAATGAATTTAATAGGTAAACCAAGAGGCCAAAAGACGTTAAGTCATATGATAAACCTTTTAACAAGTCGACTGCAAATTTCACACATCTCTTCACGAACTCCTTGAGTATCATATTAATGCACTCATCAGTTTCATGAACCCGGGTGCTCACTTTCATTAAATATATACGATACTCAGATTCTTATAAGAATTTCTGGCTTGGAAAATTCCCTAGATATACACAAATAAAATATGATTCCGAAAAATGTTGAGTATCATAAAGGTATGTAATAAAGACGAAATTGCCATTACAAGTAAAATTTGAAGGGCAATAATTGAGAGTTTAACTTTGTGAGTAGGTAGAAAAATAACCACGGCAGAATAAAAAAATATTTTTGAAAAAATCAAATTTAAAAACCTTTATACGTCGATTGATTATAATACTAACGTAAAAAACACAGTCGTGTTTCGTCAGTCTCGGATGCGTTGTTTTCCTCCTCTTCCTCGTTATATTATAACAATGATAACAATATTATATTTTGGGTTTCAAATGTCTTCGAGTAAAATAATAATAATAGTAATATTATTTTACGCATATTCAAATCGTTATTAGTGAAACGCAGAAAACAACCATATCGTATTTTGTCTTTGATATCCGTCAAATAATAGCCCGCGACTATGTAAATACACGACGAAAAAAATATTATATAATATTCTGTCGGCTTTTCGGTCGGCAGTTCGGCACAGAACATTCCCCAAACACCTCTCACTGCGTAATATTACTATTATTATTATTATTATATAATATACCTACTCGTATTATTCTAGTCGTTTACAAAATATATTATAATGTGTGTTCGCTTCGCACCCGTGTGCCCAGGTACAGTAAATGTACTTTTTTTTTATCTCTCTCCGTGCACACACAGGCATGATATACTCACGTAATATAATATAGACATGTATATGTATATAGTAAACACATACACGTGCACCGTCAAATTTGCGGATCGAAACTGACATTTTGATAACGAGCGGGAGTTGTTTTTTCGCCCCTCTCCCGCACCCGCCGCTCCTACGATCCTCCATCTGCCACGCGTCTCTCAGGACGAAAACGCAAATATATACTTACGGATTTTTTTTTCTCTCTCACGAAAGTAAATTGTGTTGTTATACGGCAAGAGTATATTCAAAAGGCGAATAATATATATACGCATGCTTATATACTTAACCTCGCGACTTTCTCGCCTCCGGCTACCTCCCCAGCCACCTCCCCCCCACCTCCCGCCCGTAATCGTCGCCGTCGTCTTCATCTCCGCGTCAATTTGTCTCCGAAAAGACAAAACGACACGACGGCATCCGGTTAGACGTGAACGACTGTGTGGGTGTGTGAGTGTGTGCGTGTGGGTGTGTGGGTCTGCGCACACTATATATAGGTACACGTAGGTACAAGCGGGGACACGTACGCGCTTTTATTATTATAACAACAATAATGAACGCTCTGGGGAGACCTCTGACGCGCAGTGCAAGTCTCACTTTTATATTATTGCCTGCACGTCGAGGTAAATTAACCGTCACACTCGTGACAAAGGTCCATATATATGTGTGTGTGAATATATAATGTGTGTACGAATTATTATTTATTTTCTCGGCAGCGCGGAGACTCGAGAGAAATGAATAACTAGCTAGGTATACTATATGATGCACCATAATATACGTCTATACACGCGTTTATTGTGTGTTGTTTTTACTTATATTGCGTGTTATATGCGAACGGCTAAGACAGTTGATGCTCTTAAGCATTTAGTGAATAATTATTGTCCACTGATTGTGTTCGGTTACCAAAATGATATTACGCCTAGGTACACGCGGTACATCGAATCACATTTTACTGAGTACTTGGAGATCCTGCCGAGCAAAATACTTTGTCGCTATGAATGCCTGTTAGTATTATTATTATAATAGATATTACAAATTATTATACCAAATAGTATACCTATACGAACCAACATGTTATTCAATCATGAGAAGCGGATAGTTTTTATGAGTTTTTGGATAGTATCAAAATTACGTTATCATATCATACTTGTATGTTATATTAAGTGATTTATAACTGTAACGAAAAACAACTTAATAAAACACAAGATGGATTTTAAAATTAAATTTCTTTTTAAAGTATAATAATATTATTGTGTTTATTTTAGGGTGTATTGTGTATATTATGTATGCACCTATGTATACCTACTATATAACTATAACTATGTGGTTAGAACATTTTTTCTAATTACTTGATCCAGTATTATTCAAACATATTATGCCAAACCTAAAATAACAATACCTATATTTCCATACTACTATACTAGGTATCACATTTACTCATTGTGCCTAAGGTATAGATTGTAAATTTCTTAAAAAAAAAAATTTTTTTTTAAGAAGGTATTTATCGCTTAATATCTTAATGTAGGTAATTAATACTAATTAATTGTACCAGAATATATTATGTATATATTATATATATATCATCAGAATAACATATGATGATAATATGATACATTGATACGACAAAGATAATTCCTCCGCACACATCTCATGCATCACATATGTATGCAGGCCATATATAAATTATTATCATCATATTATTTGTTTGGTACACTATACTGTATTGTTTTAACAAGTACGCGAGTACACGTCATATTATATCGTGAAACGGAATAATTCATAAGCTCCAACGATAGTTATGTACAAGCACAACAAGTGTACCTACGTATATTATGTTAGGACTTAGTAGTGCATAATATATATATATATATATATATATTATATGTATATATATAATATAGGTAATAGGTAAAGACGACGTCTTGAGTCTTACGTCGCAATTATGTAAAATGTTTTTTAATCTACACACGCGCATATATATTCTCACTTATACTTTGGTAATGTTTTCAAAGAAGAAACTTTTTACAGGCTTCAATACTAAATTATTATAAAGTTATCTTTATTATGTCGTAACAAATAAAATATTCTCCGACATCTATTATACAAACAAAATTTGTTTAAACCAACACGGTAATGTACCCTTGACGGTTCTCATTACTTTCGACATCCCTTGGCTTACATTTATACAACCGTCCGTTTGTCAAATTCATTAATTTGGCTTTACGTTATCCTTAATTCCGTTTAATAATGCTCCCTTGTTTTTATGCTCCTTCAAAACGTGTTTACGTTTTAGACTATTCATAATGCAGGTACACTTAACGAAAATTACACATTTTAAAGTTTTAAAAGAACATTTGAAAACAGCAATGTGCTACACATATAGATTACTAAACTATCGTTTTGGTTTGATTTTCAGATATTATCACTGCCTACAACAGACAATTATTGCTGCAATAATTACAGAATATCAACACAGTATGAAATCCACAGATAAAACAATTATAAATAATAATTTTGTAATATAAATATTTATATTTTTGAGTATACATATTGATTTATGAATATAGACTTTCCTTTTCCTTTTTTTCGAGAGGAAATTCAGTTAACTGTGCCTTCTATAAAACAATACTTACTCCAAATAGCTACAAAAGTCAAAACAATCTTGACGTACAAAAAACCCGATGACATTAAAATGTTGAAACAAAATCAATACAATAACAGTTACAGCGTTCAGGCACAAAAAATACAATAAAAAATAATAGTTAGTAAATATTAGAAATTATGATTATTACGTAAAATTAAATTACTAACTTTTAATTTTTATCACATTGATATTTTTTCTTCTTCAATAATTAAGTCTTGTAAAATTCGGTACACGAATACTGGCCTAAACCCCATACATCAAATCGCAAAGATGAAGTAGTTATCAATAGATTACGTATAGGTCACTCAAAAATGTCCCATGGACATATTATGCGCAGAGAAGAACCAGAAATGTGCCTAACCTGCGGAGAACCTCTCACAGTCAAGCACCTCCTTATCCACTGCCGTATCCATATAGATACCAGAAAAAGTCTAAAATTGCCTGACAACCTCTTTGAAGCCCTCAGCCCTATCCATGACAACACCAACAAAATAATCATATTTTTAAAACAAATTGATATGTATAATTCAATTTAAGAATCTATTGTATAACTATACTCTATTATGTACTAATTACCAATTTGTGTTGCAAGCTAATAACTTTAGAAGTTGATGCTGTACCATAAAAAAATAAAAAATTCGGTACAGTTTGGAATATCAAAAAATTATTCAATTTCACTGTTAGGTAAACAATAAAATATCACTTATAATTAATTATAATAGCTTACGGAATAAATTAGTACCTAGTTACATAAGTCTAAAACTTAAATCTCTGAGTAATCTATACTTCAGTACATAATTATTTAATATCGTATAAGTTCCATAATAAGTTTAAATATTATATCATAGTTTAAAATGTAAACAATTGTTTGTACATACCTAATATATATAAACCATACGTAAACATTTTAAGCACTATTAACAGGTGATAGAAAATAGGTATGTTGACAGTTGACATTTCGTTTTTGACCGATTTTATATTATCGAATATACAAAAATTCATCGGAGTAAATTACAAATCAAATTTAAAAAATAAAAAAATGTTTCATTCACCTAAATCGGCGTTGTTCTATACGCCATATCCAACTACGGGTGTTTTAGAGTCATCTCATAATATAAGATTATTATATTATTACAATGCTCATGGTATAATACTATACTCTTCAGATAACACAATTATTTGTCGAATGCTGTTTGAAAAACTTTTCAGTTCCTTTTTTTGAACGTTTAACGAATAAACATTTCACAATTATTAATTATTAAACGGACAGTTATTTCTATCCGTATAGTGATTTAGCGGGTACACTAACATTAAATCGTGTACGATAATTATTCGACGCCTTCTGCATAATAGATTGTATGGTATATATTATGCCATTATGCCACGATGATTATGGGCTGCTTAATGAATTTGCCAATACGGCCATTATGGGGGGCGTGCGCCTGCCATAATACTACAAACTACTGTATATATAACTACGTCGTGTCATTATAATATTATATACGTCGAGTAGTTTAACTGTTTGAGCCTCAAGGTTTCCGATCTTCGGCAAGCCACTTGGCCCACACCAGATGTGTATAATTGCAGTTCAAGTGAGGCACACTCGGGTTCCGGTGGGAGCAACGCACCCTTTGACCGAACGCCACCTCCCCACCACGAATGTAACGCTTTCGGTTAGTGATTCGTTGACCAATGGCGGTGGACGTATGAGTGCTGAGTTTGATATTGCCATACGCATTATTCATAACATTATTCTCCATCCACCACCACAGACTACAGTCCGATTTCTAATTCGATTAATATTGAAATTCGATTGCTAAACGCAGACACTCACTCAGGGTTAAAGTTCCAGGACGGATTGTTGCCTGGAAAAGTTATGATTCAATCATAGGTATCACTTTAGTTCCAAACACTTCAACTTCACCCTGTTCTCTCTCAAAAAACTCTCACAATAATGATAATATTGTCTCGATATTATCGAATAAAGACAATAATAATAGAAAATAGTTGCGTAATCATTTACGTGGCCTATAATGTACCGACGGTCGTTATAATATATGTTCAACTATATCTTAACTGTTATAATGAGTATACAAACATTTAGGTTTGTACAGTCACTCAAGATGTATATTTAGTTTTATGGCATCGTATAATATACAATATTATATAGTTTTTGTTTGCTCGAGTTTTAAAACCGAGCGTTTTCAATAAAACGCGCATTATATTATACAGGGACAGTCTGATGACGAGAAACGCGTTTAACGTAAAATCTCGTATTTTATATTCATAACACGTACCTACTGGGAAATATGAATAAGGCTGCAATGCCAATAATGATTATATCATCGCGTTTGAACGTCGCGCGTACCTTCCTATATACAGCTGGGCGGGTTTGCAGTGTATAAAGGCTGATTTAAAAAATAGATCATTTTATTTTCATCGATATCTTTGAGTAAGCAATAAGCTCAAACTGCAGCCCATACGTGATACTATTATTTTTGGTTACGGGGCCTTTAGTGAGAGCCCGAGACACCTGTGAAGTGCAGGTACCGGAGAAACGACAGTAGATACGAAACGGGCTTAAAATAATAAATATGTTATATCACGTATATTACATAAAATAGTAAAAAAATAAAACAGTTTTTTTTAGAACCATGTTATGTAGTCGAATCTACACGATAAAAAAGTTGTGGCCGCTCTAATTCGCTCTTTTCCACTCTAAATACACGAGGCTGTATACGTCTATAAAGATCAAAAAAGATCCGAAGAATGTTTTTAAAAAAATATACAATCGCGCGGGGAGCGGGGCACCTCGATGGGTAGATTAAAATATAAATTAAACAAATGTCGTGTCGTTTTTTTTATAACGCAATACAGTCCTGTACAGTAGCTGAATCGGTGTTATTTCGGGGGCATTAGACGGAACTTGAAGGATTTTCGGTGTACACGAAGAAGGATGACATACCTTACGACGCAGATATTATGCGGGAGTATTGAAAATAATAAACTGCGGATAACCCGGGTTAAAGGATTGTGGTACAAGAGGCGCTAGTGGTAGTAAATATATAGTTGGTTAGGTAACATCTGTTGCGGGTATATAATATTATTATAAATGGAAACTTAGACCAGACACTTAGAAATTTCAATATCTATACACTTAAGTTTAAGCTCGGAGCTAAGTGTCGGAGCTGAGTGAGTAGCTTAACCATGGTTTTGGGTATATTTCAATCGATATGCTTATGCAGAGGACGCTGTACAATATACACCCACATTCACTTCAGTCTTACCGTTTATCCTACGCATAGCATTACAGGAAAACTTGCCATACACTAGATGCGTGAGTGGGTTTGGAGATAAAAAGGAATAACTATATGCGAATGATGTCGTTTGGAAACCAATACTTGTCTTGACGATCAGACGTCGCCTGTATATTTAATACAATTATTGAAAACAAATGAAATAATGTTTTGAATTATTATTATAATTTCTAAGAAAGAGTGGTTTTTTTTCTTTTAAATAGGTGTTTATTTATTTATTTGGAGCGAGTATAAGAACTGATTATGTTACCAATTGAACTATATTCTAAGAGAGTAGATAATATACTTTCTTATTATGTTTTATAAAAGTGCTGAGGATACAATAATAGATTTAGGCAGAGAATCCAGTGAACAAATATTTCAATATTTATGGACTTTAACCGGGAGGTGCTAAAAAGTAAAAATGATGTCATAGGGGAGGGGGGAACATATTAGGGGGACAATCTCCCAAACTAACCCCCCTCCCCCCCCAAACGTTACACCGATGATAATATACGATTATGAACGGCTGTTCTCCGCGAAACAGTGGCATTATGATACATAGTGATGTATATATGTATAGCATGGTGTAGGCCTCAAGCCGAAAGAAATATATTGCGACCATTATGGGGGGCTGCTGCAGTGAGCGGATTAACTCCGGGCGCGTTCAATTATTCCGCCCGTGACACTGATAAAGACCGAACTTTACAATGTTTCCGCCGCTCCGTCGAGTGGCAGCGGCGGCCGATTTAATCGCCAAAACTCGTATTTATAATATAATGCGCGTGTGGGTGGAGAGGTGACGGGGGACTTAGAGTCCCGGCAGAGCGGTTGGAGAATGTGCGCCCGCGAGAGAGTGTGTGTGTGCGGCGTGCGTGTGGGGAAACGCCATTAAAAGCGACCGGTATTCATAATATTATTATTGATTTACTTCCGCGAATTCGGACAGCGTAAATACCAATATTATTAACATTGAAATGCATAATACATACAATATATGCGTATAGTTTAGGTGTATCTTAGCTGGGGGTCGTTGTTACCCCGGTAGCTGCAAACCGATCGGTCATTTCTGGTATTTCCGAATTGCCGAACACGCGCCGAGCGGTCGTATAATAGTATAGGGTTTTTTTTTATGCTCTCGTATATATACCTGTATACGGATTGTTACAATGGTACAACTGTAACGCTATAACCTATACGCCGTTTGTCGAACACGGTACACCATGTACCGAGGGTACGATCTCGGCCGAAGACCGGTACAAGGAACCGTAAAAACTGCTGTAAAAACGATTGACGACCACGGTAGGTATAGGTCCGCGAAAACAGTGGAAGGGTGCCGAGGGTTATTCGGGTCAATTGCAGCGGGAAAGGGTTAAAGCCGCGGGCCGGTTTACACGGTCAATACGCGTATATGCGAGCCGCGCGCGCAGGTGTTTCGCCCAGGGACCCATCAGGTTCTTCCGGGTTCTCTACAACTGCACACATCATATACACTCGTTTCGGGGGATGTCCGTTTCGCTTTTGATTTCCCATAGCCCGCCGAACCCTTCGACCCGCAGCTAAGAGACTTAAGCAAGACGGAACCGACGACGACCACCGACCATTA